CACATCATATCCGGTTGTACAAAGACACCTAGATCTCTTTCTAATACACTGTTTGAGAGGTCATAAATCATTCCATTTATATTCATTGTGTATGTTTTATCAATACCTCGAAAAACTTTTTGATTGCCGAATCTCATCACCTTACATTTTTTGCAGTTTATTTCCATACCCTAATTGTTGTACCATTTCACAATGTTGTCAAGGTCGGTTTGTATTTCCGCTTGTTTATCAATGGAATCTTCTATGGCTATTATTTTGCTATCATCAGCATACATTTTAAATGTGTTTAGCACAACTTCTGGGAGGTCATTTATGAATAGCAGAAACAACATTGGACCCAAAACGGAACCCTGAGGCACACCACTGGTAACTGATACCCATTCTGAAACTGTATTACTAATAGCAACTCTTTGTTTCCTATTTGCAAGAAAACTTTTAATCCAGTTATATATTTTACCAGTTATACCATACGCTTTAATCTTTGTCAATAATCTTTTGTGTTCTACTTTATCAAAAGCCTTTGCGAAGTCAAGATATATGACGCATAACAGTTTACCTTTTGCAGTTTCAAATGTAATTGTGTCAAATATCTCAATAAGATTTGTTGTGCATGATTTGTTTGGATCAAAACCAGTTTGCTCCTCAGATATAAGTCTATTTGAAACTAAATGTTGCAGAATTGTGTCCCGAATTAGCTTTTTGAACATTTTACTAATCACAGATGTTAGGGATACTAGTCTGTAGTTTTCTGGTTCAAGTTTTGATCCCCCTTTGTAAATTGGTGATATATTTGCAACAGACCAGTGGTAAGGGACACATCCAGTGTCAAATCTTAATTTGAAAATATGAACAATTGGGTCCACAAAACCTTCTGCAGCATGCTTTAAAACAAACGGACTAATTTCATCAAAAACCATCGCTTTTGACTCATCTATACCTTCTAACATTTTGAGAATTTTTTCATAGGTAATCATATTAGATAATTTACTGCAATCGCAGTGGTTTTCGCATCTTTGCAAGAATTCGGGTATTGGTTGGTCATTATAATTAACAAAGACAGACTAAAATTGCTTATTTAATATATCTGAAATGTCTGATATCTTAGTTGTAACTTGATCTTTTTTGTTCTTGATTGCTCTAATTTGCGTTTTAATGTTTTGTTTTCTATTTACGTATGAGAATAAAAGTTTTGGTGCAAGCTTTGCTCTCTTTACTAAATCCATTTCGTATTCTCGAGTTGATCTTTTGATTTGCTTTTTAACATTAGCACACATTTTGTTAAAAGTCTTTTGAGATTCTTGACTTTGCCGATGCAAGTTTGAATAAAACATAGAATGTTTAATCTTTATTGCTTTTTTAACTTTTGCATCCAACCAGGGTTGACTATTCTTTTTTTTATTATTCAAAATAGGAATAAACAATCGACAAGATTCATTATATGTATGCAAAAATAACTCATAACATTCACAGGCTGATTTGTTATAAAAATGCTCAACCCAGTTGACTTGTTTCAAGTATTTATTCATTTGAAAAAAATTACCTTTTTTTAAAGCAAAACTTATCTTTTGTGAGTACTGTATTGTTACTAAGACTAGTAAAATATTGCCAAGTGATGGAGTAATGGTATCTTCCCTTTTCATAGTGGCCTAACTGTGGACCACATTGAAGAAAATCGATGCAATTTGGATTGCAAACTAAAACAAGATCAAGGGTGTTAACTGCTGAAACAGAGTCATTTTGTTTGAATGTCGGAAAATTTACTATTTGGTATAGAGAACAATCATTTCAAACTTTAATAAATTCATGTTCAATTAAGTTTCCATTTGAATGAATTATTGGACCATCATCTGTCCATTCTATATTAGGAAAATTGAAATCTCTGACCATAATGAGATCAGTGTATTTTTTTCCACTTTTGAGTTTAGAAGCGGTTCTGATTGAGTCTAGAATCAATTTTGAGTAATCAGCTGTAGAGTTTGGTGGTCTATATACACAACCAACAATTAAATGAAAATTATTACAATTTATTGAGCACCAGACTTGTTCGATCTCTTTGTTGTTATGATGCACATTTACAATTTCTATATTTGTAAGTCTTTTATTTACATAAATGCAACACCTCCTCCAATTCTATCTCTATCTGCCTGATACAGTTCATAGCCATCAATTATTTTAATTGAATCCAATTTAAACCAAGTTTCTGCAATTGCAATATCATCAATTTCATATGCCAAAGCAAGTGTGGACAGCTCAGATAATTTATTAGAGTTACACGAGGTAGCATTAGTATAATAAAATTTAGTTGGTTTATAGTTAGTACTAGTATTTTGCTTTAAATAAATAGGAAGTTTTACATTACTCAGGTTTTGGTAAGGTTTATAAGATTGGCTGATATGAGCCCCTTCGGGCCTGCTTAGCAACGCTCTCTTTGACAAATGGGTGAACTTTGCGGTTGCCAATGTCTTTTGTTGTAGTGACGTCGATGCACAGTAATTTTCTGCTTCTAATGACAAATTGAAAGGGCTGGTCTAGGTTATTATTGCGTTGCAAGTCCTCGTTCGCCTCCTTTTTTTCTTTATTTAATTGTGAAAATTCAGCCTGCTCATCAGGAGTGCGGTCAGGCCGTATATATACTTTTTTGTAGGCCTCAATAGTTGACAGTTCTCTTGCTGCAGCCAACATCTCGTTTTGTGCTACTTCATTCTCAAATTTGACAACTAACGGTTCAGATGCATTGTTTACCAAGGGAACTTTAGATTTTAATCTGAATGTTGATTTTATTATTATTCGTCTGTTCAGCGATTGTATTAATTCGTTGGCCATGTTCTCGTCATCTGTCTTGCGATCCTCGATTATAGTTTTTTGTGAGTTAGGCAAACCAACAATTACAACATTTTTAGACTTTTTACTGGATAATATTTCATGACTTTTTGACACTTTGATGCTAGCATTATACAGCTCAGAACCTGGTTTGGCTAGTTGCTTAGCAATTTGGCTGTAACAAACAGCAGGTGAACTAGAAGGTGTTCTAGTTCACCTGCTGTTTGGCTAGTTGCTTAGCAGTTTGGCTGTAACAAACAGCAGGTGAACTAGAAGGTGTTCTAGTTCACCTGCTGAAATTTGCATTGTTTTCTTCTAGTCTTTTTACTTTCTCACTAAGTTCAGCTATTTCTGCATCTTTTTCCTTTAATTTCACTTCAAATAGTTTAGTTTGTTGATTTAGTTTCACTTGAAAGTCATCCTTTAGCTCTTCAAAGCTTTGTTAATCATCAAAGCTATACATTTTTTTTGTTGGTCAGTGAGTTTAGTCATATCTCAATCCTCAATTTCCACCAATGAAATGAAAGAGAAACAACCACTACAAACAACAGTAGATTACTTCTTTGATGTTGAGTTGGTCTTTATAGGAGGGCTACCACTTATTAACACAAATACTGTAAAGTAGTTTAGATGTGTTTTTTTCCGATATATATATATATATATACATATATATATATATATATATATATATATATATATATATATATATATATATATATATATATATATATATATATATATATATATATATATATATATATATATATATATGTATATATATATGTATATATATATATATATATATATATATATATATATATATATATATATATATATATATATATATATATATATATATATTGCTTTTATATTACTTTTATTATTATATTATTTTAATTTTTAAATTTTATTTTAAAAGCTATCTTAAGTATTATTTCATAGCTAAAACATTAATTAGCTGTTAAGATAATAAATAAATTGCACCAAATGTGTGACAGGCCATCTATACACATGGAAATTTTTTCACATACCTTTTGTGCAGGGCTTTCAAAGTCGCACATTAGTGAGTCAACTCTTGACCATGACTGAAAATGAAGGATAAAGTAATATAATGGAAAAATCTTTTGTACGGCTGTTAATTATATTTAATTATATTAATATCCTAAAATAGTTTTCTTTGAAAAGCTTTTTAAATTATAAATTATTAATAAAAACACATTCAAAATTGCAATTGGCATAAATGGGTGTAGATTTTTGTGGGATTTAGTCAGTTTCTTTATATTCTCTGCATTATTTTACTATGTCACAATTATTCATCTACCAATAAGTTTTTATTTTATTTTTGAATCAATGAACATGTAAAAAAATTTAATAATGAGATGCAGTCTTTAATCTCCTTTGATTTGTTTAATCTAATAGGAATCAAAACTAAAAGAAATTTTAATCTAAAAAGAATAAAAAGTTGCAACCACAGCTTAATTTTGATCCTGTCTAAATAAAGCACTAAGTTAACCTTATTTATATAATAATGTTTCTTTGATCTGTCATTTGGTACATCATATAAATGTTCAATTTGTTTCAAGTCCAAAACTAATGATGAAAGAGTTCAGATTATTTTTTAACCCTTTACTATTGTATCATTAGCGTCATTGTATAAATGTGAACTTTGTATTGAGTTTTATTTGCTGATTGTAAATGGTCATATATTATTTTCCTGTATCTGCAAATAATAAAAACATCACAACTATGAAAAAAATCACCTAAATAAGTATACAAAAACAGTGTATTTTTGATTGCTAAAATTTTTTTCACACTCTGTTCTTTGTGAAACAATTGTATATTATCAAAGAACCAGCTTGCCAGACAATAATATCCCAGAAACTGAATTGCTTTTTTAACATTTCTTTAACTTTTTAGGGTTGAAAAAATTTTAGGGTTATTTTTTATGTTGCATATAAGATGATTATTCATATTGAGTTATGGGTCCAACACCAAGTAGTGCTTAAATATTTTGATATATATATATAGAAACAACAATGTTCCAATTCAAATTAAATCAGAAGCCTATCTACTTTATATTATTTATAGAAATTAATTAATTTATTTTAGTTTTATTGTCATTATTATTTTATTATTCTTGCAATAAAACTCTTTTTTTTTTTTTACCAATATCTTTGAAGGCTTTTCTTTGAAGCTGAGCTGACAAATGTAAAAATGAAATGCCCATCATTAGAGGAACACCTTTCTGAAGCTATTTTATGTTATAACCAAGCAATTAAAGTTTATATTAAAGAAGGTACATTTTATAATGATTATATTGTTTTATTAAATTTATTATTTTTTTGAAAAAATTTACAATAGTAAAATTATAAATTTACATAAATATAGTTACTATAAAGCTATCTCTCAAAGTTAAAGATAGTCGATGAATTAACACCTAAAGAAAATTATATATATATATATATATATATATATATATATATATATATATATATATATATATATATATATATATATATATATATATATATATATATATATATATATATATATATATATATATATATATATATATATATATATATATATATATATATATATATATATATATATATATATATATATATATATATATATATATATATATGGGAGGTCATAGCCATACTTTTCTTTAAATCTTTATAAGCAGCAATATGTGGCAATTATGAATTGGTGTAATAAATTAGAGTGAAAAAAAAATTTTAACCACCCCTTAAGGTTGCACCACACACAACAATTTTGCTAAAAAAAAATTTAAATATATATGTAATAGTTTTTTTTTGCTTTTAACAATATTTTTAACAATATTTTTTTATTCCACAAATATTAGACTAATTCCTTAAATGTAGTTTTTTAACATATGATTTCATCTTTACAACATAATATTGCTATATTAAAATTTATTTTGCATTCAAACAGCTTGTACAAGTATATGTAATTTTTAATATTATTTTATTTGCATTTTGGTCTCTATAAATGCGCGTACACACACACAAACACACTCACAAAGACATGTATATGTCTTTGTGTGTTAGTGTACAATGCTTTTTATTTCTAAATAAGTAAAAATTATATATTCTTATCATAAAAATATAGAGGTTATCTGTCTATCTGTGGACATTTTGGCTCTCCATGGTAAACTCGAAAACTATAATGCACAAAGAAAAAGTTTAAAATGAACTTTGTTTTTAATCAATCTTAAAAGGATCTTTGCAAAAAAAAAAAAATTTTAAAATCAATTTAACAAGGATTCAAGATCCTTTTAATGAAAAAAATTTACTATTTCAAAAAATTTTTTATATTTTTAAATATTAAATAAAAAGCATTTTTGCAATTTTATTTGACATTAATCAACATCAAATTAAATTAATGTGTACAACTTTTGTTTATGCATCACTAAAATTAGCATAATATATTTTATTTAAATTGATTTTAAAAAATCTTTGAATAATACTTCTTGCGATTGTACAGGCTATCCTACTAGTATAATTAATTATTAGCAATTGCATCTTAGGAACATACACGCAGTACCAACCCTTTGAATTAGGAAAAATTTTTGCCAATCTTTTAGAGGTTGGCATCAGGTTGTCAAAAAAAAATTGGAACAAAGGTCTTGCCTCAAAACATAGAAATTAGGTTGGCAATTTTGCCGACCCCAAACACTTTAAGGTCGACATTGTAAAATGCTGACCCTAATTCCGAGGGCTGTACTACTACAGCCCTCGGAATTAGGGTCATGGAATGACAGCTTAACATTAAGGCAAGGTTCTATATTTCCAACAATGATTCCTGAAAAAGAGACGTTAAAAAATACTATCAATTGGGCTCAGTACTTTCTAGCCAGATATACTTAGCAATTGTTCATGAAATACTTAACAAATTAATTCCAAATTTTTTTCATAGTGATGTTCTATATGCATTTATTTAATTGATTTTTACTTTATCAGTTTATCATTCCAAAATAAGTAAACACATGAATGATCAAAAAAAGGTGATGGAAATTTTCCTTAAAAATCCAACTTATTCACATCCAAAATTGCAAAATTGTCATAAGTTGCTAAATCTTCAGGAAACATTGAGGCAGTATGGGTCATTCCGTATGAAATCATCAAAAAAAAAAAATATATTTTCGGCACCCTTGTCTCAGAATTTGTTCATTTTTAGTCCACATTAAATAAATAACAACTACAAAAATTTTTTTATTAAAAATACACATCGGTTCTAGAGATGTCATCAGTTGAAATAATGCTGACTCAGCATTTTAATGATTATCTGAAGTGCCTACAATATAACTTTAACATATAGTATTTTGATAATGACTTAGTGAAATTTTTTAAAAATTGGTACCCTAATAGATTTTTACTTGAGGAATTCAAAAATAGCACCCTCAAGACTTGATAGCCTCAAGAAATGACTCGTTTATCCGATTTTGTTCAAAATTTATTGACTTGTAAACTTATGATCTTTGGAAGTAAAATGAAGACTGTCACCCGAAATTCCGAGTAAAAGGTTTAACTGTATATCATTATTTTATCTTAGATCTACTGAAAAAAATTAGGTTCATAAATTGTCCCTCTAATACTTGATCAAATTTTGCATTTAAAAAGAGTGTCTTTTCAGAAAAATAATGAAAGCAATTGAAATGTTTTTTAAAACATTTTTTTGAATAAAGCATCAGTATAGTGTTATTTAGTGACTAGTTTAGGACACATATAGTCATGGACCAAGGGAGGGCATAGGGACTCCTGCCTAACTCCCCCTCCCCCATCCCCCAGTTTGCTTGTTTTTTTTGCACAAATGAATTAATAATAAAAAATTATTAAAATAAAATTTAAAAACATAATGAGTTATAGTAAAAAGTTATAATAAGTTTTCAAACGTTAAATTTTGTTGCACTTGAATTCTTTTTCATTTCAAATTACTAATTGTTTACTTCTTATTTCAAAGTATTCAAAAACTTAAATTATGCAACAAAAGAGATTTTAATTGTTTTTTCAACATTTTTACAAATAATTTCTTTATAGTATTATTTAGTAGTTTAAGGCTTCCATAGTCATTGTCATAATAAGGGGGAAAGGGAGGATCTCTTCCACCAACCCACTCGCACTCCCATTATCCTCAGCCTTCCACCTTAAAGACTTGAAAAAAAAAGAAAGACAAATACTAAATTACTAAATAGATAAATAAATTTACAAAACAATTTTTTGAAATGCAAATATTTTTTTATTTTTTAACCAATGGCTTATATTCTCTAAATCATATATGTTGTATATACCATCTGATATTGTTGTGGGTGTAGAAATTAGACATAACTTCGGAATTGAGCACTTTGCACTTGTCATTTCTGAAGTTTTTACCTGGTCCATGCAGATGCATGTATCTAACTTTTATATTAAGTTCACTTACATCTTCAGCAATCCCTACCCACCAAAATCCATCATAAAAACATGCAATATAATCCATTTTTTTAATCCTTAATGAAATCTCTTTATTATGTTTTTTTTTCGGAATGATATCAAATATTTCATTACATGCATTAATTCTTGTTTTTTTATAACTTATTGTATTTCAACCAATAGGAATAAAATGATGATACATCCTTGTTCCATGAACTGCTCTTCTACCTAAATATCTTTTTTCTATTTATGCTCTAGTTTGGTTGATTTCATCTTTTGAAAGCAACTTAAAACAAATTCCATTTATATTAGCTTTACAAAAGGAATACATTTGATTAACACCCAAAATCTGTCCAGTAGTTATTTTTTTAACCTTTCTTGGCATACTACTTTTTTAACAGTCTCACCAATACCATCACATGAGATTTACCATGACTAGTAGCAAAAAATACCCATTCATCATTTGTCTTTACTGTGATGACAAAGATTGATAAAGTTTTTTGGTCCATAAACTATTGGACTAAAAAACTTTTTAATGCTTGAATAACAGGGCATTAGTTACATCGATGCAACGCTCTGCAGAGAACAAACAACCAAAGCCATAAAATTTTTATAACCTTTATTCCATCTAATTGCGTCAATAAGAAATTTTGTATTTTGGTGATGTATACATTTACATACATTGTGAGTACCTGTAATGCATCTCTCAGGTTTCAGAGTACAAAACTTTGACAAACTGATATTTTAAGCAAAAATGGATAGCAGGAATGAAAAAGGTTACTGAAAGCATGATTCAGGCCATGATGATGACCTATTCTAAAAATTTTTTGCTCAATGCAAAGGGTCAAGGTTAACACTGAAATTTAAAATTTTATTGTTTAATATAAAATTTTATGTGTTTAATATATGTTCATGTAATTCTTATAATATAGGAGTAGAAAGTGAGTAATGATGATGTACTTTTAAACTGCCAAAGAAAGATGTGTTGGGCAAAAGTCAACTGGGACTACTTAATCAGGTCTACATATCTACTTTAAAACTGAAACTCTAAAAAAAATATTATAATTAGGCAAAAACAGTTAAATACACATACAAATATTGAGGAAAATATGGATCACATTACTGATAGCAATTTGTATGAATCTGACAAAAATATTAAACTAGATGAATCTAAAGATAAATATTACAAATTATATGAATGATGTCTTAAAAAATTCTAATCTTCATTCCTTACAATGAATTAGCAATCATAGTAGATAGTTGAGTCAGTTGCAGAGCAACTGTGATTGTCAATACTGCTCTAAAAGACATAAACTAAATGAATCAAATATGCTTAATAGAAAAAAAGTCAAAAGAGAAAGACTTTGTGTTGGACAAAAAAAATATTATTATGAGAAAATGCAAAAGTTTGAAGCTACAGTGTATTGGTTTCAATTGAAAAAAATAAGAGCACTTGATGGAATTTAATAACTCCATCACGTAATAACTCCATCACGTGATGAGTTTAAAAGCACTTAATAATGGAATTTCTTGCTGCACTGCTAATGAAATGCTCTCTTATGCAATGTAACTGTAGTAAACACAAAAAAGTTTGGAGAAGTTATGAAATTAACAGAAGCAGAACTTATTTAATAAAAACAGAACTTGATAGACCTGATTGACTCAGTGGCTCATTTTTCAACTTCATTTAAATGAACTTTGGTTAAAATATATGTTTAAATTGATTGATAGAAAAACCTCTGGCCCTGGTTTATTTAAAGGAGAAATTGGTGAAAAGATAACAGAAGACTTATTTCAAAAATATTAAAGTTTCTATTCGTTTAATTCCTGATAAATCTTTAGTTAATTTAGTTATTTGTTT